TCAAGCATATATTGCTTTTAGTAGTAGATGTAAAGACAAAACATATCTAGATTTCTCTATTGAATAGCTAAACCTATTGAGGCATGTTTTAAAAAATATTTTTGGCGTGATTATTTCTGTTATATTTGTAGTCCACGAAAAGCTATTGAATGTTTACATTTGCCAATTACGAAATTTTCTAAATACTAAAATCGATCATATCATGAAAGTTATTTAATATGTATACATTACAATAAAAAGAATGCTATTGACGATGTAACCATAATGATTAAAGAATGTTATTACAGTTGCAATTATGACCAAAAAAATGCTATCAAATTAAAAAAAAAAAAAAAAAAAGACTGCACAAAAAGAATGCTACAAATAATACGATGAAGAATGCTATTTAAAAGTTTTTTATAGCACTTTATAATAGCATTCAAAAAAGTTATTATACGACTTTTCATTCCAAAAAAATGCTATAGAAGATGATAGATAGCATTTTTTATAAACTATAAATGAGTTGATATGTTGTAGTGTGCAATGGCAAACAATACCTTGTTTCCACAAGGAGGCTGCTGACTTCAGTTACTTGCACCATCTCCAATTCTCCTACACGTCTGTGCTTTGCCTTTTTTTTTCCCCTACTTTTTACCATCATTCTTGTGTAAGGACAATTGTAGTTGATGACAACATCCGCTTGGATCTGTGTATAAGCTAAGAAGCGTTAGACACTAGCAATAAATAAGAGATATTCTTATGCATGTAAAATCCGACTTACTGGTGTGTGCAGCCACACTAAGTTGTAACCCCAGTCGCTAAAAATGATAGGTCAAATGAATTTCACTTATCATTTAACGTCACATTAACGCCACCTAGACTGAGATTGTAATCCCAGTGAGGCTAAATAATATTACTCTTTGGAAAAAGGAAAATGACAATAGAAAGCAATAGAGAGAAACCAGAGAGAGACCCAAGTTGAAATTCGATCTCACCAGCTTATTTATAAACTCTATTTCTGTTAAACCAAACATAGATGGGCAAAAAATCGAAAAACCCAATCCACGAATATGATGAAAATCTAATTTATATCAACTATCTTGTGACTGAAAATCGTTAACTATAAAATGACACAAAGAAGTACTTGTACACTAATTTTTATTTTTATTTTTGCAAAATTTACATACATACTCAAATAAATAACTATTTATCTTGTGGAAAATATAGCATAAATCTTTAGTATACAAGTCAATATTTATAATTTATTACACGTCAAAAATTAAATTGTCATCAATATTATCTCGTAGTTATGACTAACTAAGACACCTTCATTTTTTTCGTATTCCAATTAGATATTTGAAAATTTTTAACTTTTATTCATAGAAAACTATAAAATATATGATTAAAAATATATAAAGAGAAAATATTACACAGTTTTGCCTAATGAAATGGAACAAAGTCCATTATATGGTCAAAGTTTCATAAAAATATCCTCTACACCTGAAAAATCAATAATGATGAAGATTACTTGTTCTTTATAAATTAAAAAAGTATTAATATAAAGACAAAACAATAAGAATCCCAACAAGGGGAGCATGAGTAAAATTCAAGCTCCCATTATCCTCCACAGTAGACATTGCAGCTAGCGCTCAGACCTTCTAGCAAAAGAAACGTGAACACTCTAATTTCCTTGATTCTTCTTCAACTTGAAGATGTTTTTGTGTTTCTTTCAAAAAATAGTCTTTAGAAACCTTTCCAAGAAGGAGGAAACTTCAAAATAATTGCACCAACTCGAAGTCTTGGGAAGTTCAATCTTTAAACCGCTTTCATTTCGTTTGCAATAATATGTAGTTATACTAATTGGGCCAACAAAGGCATATTATTCAAAAATTTGAAATCAAAATATTATGGAAAATGTACTTTTTGATACTTTCGTCATCAACTTGTATTTGTTTTCCAAAGCCTCCCATATTTCTCTTGCCAATGTTGTGTTGGTGTAGGAGATCGTAGAGATGATCCAACAAGGTGCTAAGAATTTACTTTGGCATATGTGATCCTTTGAAAACTACCCGCAAGTGTACGGGGTCATGATCAAATAATATAACGATGAATAGAGTGTCGAACCCACGANAACGAGATCGTGAACAAGTAATAGAGTAGTGTGTAGAGTGTCGAACCCACTAGGACTAATTATTTAATCGAGTTCAAATTAATAGTAACCTTAATTGAATAGCAAATAAATTTTGGGTTTTCTATACTAATTTTTAAATTATCGATTAAATGAAAAGGCAATTTAACTGGTTTGATTTCAAATATGTAAAAGTATTGCTAAGATGTTAAATCCTCTTGTTAATCCATTTTTAACACAACGAATTAAAGTGACAGTTTGTAATCAATCTTGTTGGTCAGTGTTTCTAATTTAATTGAAAACATATCTCGATAGTTATCAAATATATTCTCCTCATGTGACATTCATATTTGTCGATGAAAGATGCGAACATGATAAATGTTTTAAACGATCTAGAGCATCTATGAAAACTATGTAAAACATCCCCTATCGAACTTTACAATATTTATTAGTTTTAGCTAAAAACCTATCATCTATCTCGATAATAATAAATTATAATAAATCATCTCAATTAGTAGCT